GGTCGTGATCTCAGGGTCATGAGATTGAGCCCCATGTCAGGCTTCATGCTAGGCCTGGAGCCTGCTTAAGATTCTCTCTCCCTTTCCCTCTGTCCCTCCCCCACCAAAAAAAGGGAAGGAAAAATCAACAACATGAAAAGAACAGTACAGGGAATACAGTCAATCATAGTAACTTTGTATGGTGACATATGATAACTATACTTACTGTAGTGGGCATTTCATAATGCATAGAATTTTTGAATCACTATGTTGTACACCTGAAACTAATATGTCAACTGTGCTTTGATTAAATAACAACACCCCTCCATTACTATTATTATTATATCCCTCTGTACTGTATGTTAAGCATAGGGTAACTGAATGTTGCAAAAATAACCTATAAAATCAGTTTGTTTCAAAAATAAATAAAATTTATAATAGTATGGAAATATGGTACATATCTACTGTCACATTTAAAGCATTCGAAAAGGGGCGCTTGGGTGGCTCAGTGGGTTAAGCCTCTGCCTTCAGCTCAGGTCATGATCCCAGGGTCCTAGAATCGAGCCATGCATCAGGCTCTCTGCTCAGCAGGGAGCCAGCTTCCCCCCCCTCCTCTGCCTGCCTCTTTGCCTACTTGTGATCTCTGTCTGTCAAAAAATAAATGAATAAAATCTTTAAAAAAATAAAGCACTTGAAAAAACTATTATACAAGGCAAGTGGCATAATTCTAGTTACAGTTCAAAGGCCTAAGAACCAGGGAAGCTGATGGTATAAATTCCCGTCCAAGGGTAGGAGAAGACCCATGTCCCAGCTCAGGCAGGCGGGCAGGAAGTGAATCTTCCCTTCATCCTCCCTTCCCTTTTTGTTCTCTTCTGGCCCTTAGTGGTTTGGATGATGCCCACCCACATTGGGAGGGCAATCTACTGAGTCACCTGGCAACACCCTCAGACACACCCAGAAGTAATGTTTAATCTGGGCCCCATGGCCTAGTCAAGTTGACACACAAAATTAACCATCATAAGTCCAACCTTTGTCAACTTGACAACCATACTTAGTCTCCACATAAAGACAACAAGGTCGTAATTCTGCCTAACATGACACGATCAGCCTGTGCACAGCTGAAAATGCACTAATACCTTCCCCAGAAGAGAAATAAAAGTCTTTCAGTGGTGTTTTCTTGATATCTTACGATGTAAAATTAACAATTCTTAAATACTTTGATATAAAATCCTTTCATCTTTGTAAGGAAGTAAAAGAGGAATGAAAACACACATACACATATTCATAGCAAAATTAGAAGGGAATACTCGTGACAGTTACAGTCCACATTTCTGTCATGTGGTCATAGCTACTATTTATAACTGCCATCTTCCACTATCCACTCTATTCCCTTTGCTTTCAACAAGCACTTCAGCTGATTGTAATTCTTTGTCTGGTGAGATAACCCAGACCTTCATTCCTGAGGAGTCTAGGCCATTAGTAATCCTTCCTAATTTTTCATTGACCTTAATCACAGGGCATGATAATACTAAGAGAGACCCTAAAGGATCTTCTGTGTTCCACATATTTTCTTCATTTCTACCTCTTGATTCCTGGATTTGTGAATTTTGATTGTGGGAGAAAAGGCACCATATATTGGATGCTGAATCAGCACATTCATCATTCTGGAGAACCTTGCCCCAGACCTCTAAGATACTTAGTTTTCAAAAGGTCGTTCCACCATTCTGTCAAGTCAGCTGCTTCAGAATGTTAGGAAACATGGCAAGACTAGTGAATTCCATGAGCATGGGCCTATTGTTGTACTTTTTTTGATATTAGGTGAATTTTTTGATCAGAAGCAATGCTTTGTGGAATACCATGACAATGAATAAGACATTCTATAAGTCCATAGGTAGTAGTTTTGACAAGAGTATTCATGTGCAGGGAGGGCAAATCCATATCCAAAGTATTTTTAACAGTAAAATCAAAATGCTGCCCCTTCCATGATGAAAGCAGTCCAGTGTGAGCAACATGCCATGATAGCTGGCTAGTCACCCCAGGGAATGATGTCATATCAGGTGCTCGGGGTTAATCTTTGCTGCTGGCAGATTAGACTCTCAGCAGTGGCCATAACCTCAGTGAATGGAAGTCTGTGTTGCTGAACCCACGCATAACCTCCATCCCTCCCACTATGGCTGCTTTGTTCATAAGCCTATTGGACAGTGATGGATGGCTGAGGAAAGAGGCTGACTGGTATCCATAAAATAGGTCATCCTATCCAATTGATTTTTTAAATCCTCTGTGGAGGTCACCCTTTGATGAGCATTCCCATGGGGCACAAGTAAGTATCTTCATGTTTTTTAGCCCATTCAGAGAGGTCTCTCTACATCTTCTGTGGATTTCTTTGTCATCACTTTTCCCTTCCTCCACATTAAACCAAGGCATATCTGGCATTTCCAGTTCACTCACAATGGTCACGACCTTCTGGTCCATGTTTCAGCCAACCAAACAAATGCTAGAACCTTCTCTAACTCCCTAAGTTACAACACTAATGCAGAATCTCTGCATAGTGAGCCTGTATGCTTATTAAGAACTGATTCCCATGAAAGTACTTTTTGTCCAGTAAAAATGCACATGAATATAATTGGACAGGGCTCATTGCCATTTAGAAAATTGATAATTGGATAAAACTGACTTAGTGGAGTTAGATTCATTCTGAATATTTAGTGTATGCCCTCTATGCCTATGCATATAGACTATATTAGATAGTAGACGAAATCACATAGGATGAATCTACAAAATACGGAAACTGAAGATTGACAGAAAACACAATATTGAAACCCTGGGGACTGATAGACACATACACATGTACATATAGTCATACACACCTATGTCAAGTAGTAGAATTGGCAGAGACATCAGAGAAGATAGGTAGTAGAACTATGGAGGAGTAGCACCTCAAAATCTAAGTAAAAGTTTTAAGGGTGGTCAGTTGTGTTAAATTCCATAGACTGTCTAGTATAGTAAAGTAAGTAATATAGTAAATATAGTATTAATATAGTTTAATTATTTATTTAATTTTATTTATTTAATTTATTTAATATATTATTAATATAGTAAAGTAACAGCTAAATAAACGGGCTTATTTACCATTGAGTTTTTATATCATTACTACATATTGATGTTGTTAGTGATGAGAACAGTTTCAATAAGGTTGAAAACTAAAGCTAGTTTACAGTGGATTGAGGAACAAACCTCCATTCAGTGGGAAGTATGAAAGGAGAAATAACATGTGTAAACTATGGAATTTAGAATTTATCCCTTGAATAATAGAGGGCAATTAGAAGTTTTGTAAATTTTCTTGGTAAAAATGTGTTTCCAATATTAGTACTGTTTTTGAGGGGTTTGGGGGGGGTGCTTGGTTATATCAACTGATTTATACCAGATCCTGTGATTCCATTCTCATATGGGCTCCCTGGGCTTGGTGTTTTCCTGGGGATCCCCTGATATAGGATCTTGGCAAACAAACGTGGCCTATAGGTGTCAGGCTTTACACTAGGGCAAAAAATTCTAGTATTACTCCTGAAATAACCATGATCTCATTAAACAAAAATTATGGCACCTGCCTTTTGGATGTGGTCATTCCAAAAGAGAGAGTGCCTTTTCCCTATTTAGTAAGGTAAGTATTTACTAAAGTGATATCCGTGTTGTAGATGTACTCCTTGTATAGAAATACTGTTTTAATAGTACCAGAAAATTCCTAGGAGAAATAATCTGTAATACATTGAATCAAAAAGTCCTCATTTTTAAAATAAGTAAACTATTAATTTAAAAAATCATCTTTTTGGGTAGCTGGGAAAAGGGAGTATCATATTTTAATTAAACATTTCATAGTTTTTAAATAAAGTTTTATTTTGACATCAGTCTTATTCCTAATGTATTAAAGAGTGAGAGGAACTATTCTTTACTCAAGCTAGTTTAATAGGAGATGACTCTCTGTGACTATTTTGGAATTTTGAGTTGTTTCTTTTCTTTACTGTGTGAATTAAATGTGAACTGATAGTTTCTTTTAGGAAGTCTTACATAATGATGAATTGATCTCTTTTTGCTTTTTTTGGAACAGCTTTTTATAGAAACTAGTTTAGAAAGGGATTTCTTAAGTGGCTGCATTGGTATTCACATTAAAGAGCAGGAAAGGAAATGGAAAGGTTTCGTGCTTCCATGGTTAATTTCTTTGTACAGCATCTTCTTTATCTCTGTTTCCAGCAGTGATTTTCATGCATATCTTTGAAGAGCTCTACATTCTAAGAGTAAAGACATTTTTATTCTGTTGGGATTTAGGATGGTTCATGTTATTGTAGATGCCTTATTTTTATTTAAACATTTTTATTTGAAAATAGAATTTTCAGTAAATGCATATTTCTGTGGTGTATGGCAGTGCTGTTCCAAATCAATATCATGTAAGCCACATATGTATTTTAAAATACTGTGTTAAAAGGAGTAATAATTACAGACAAAATTAATATTCTTAAACTCAATGTGTATAAAATATTATTTTGACCTATAATCAATATAAAAATTATTGAGGTATTTTGCCTTTTTATTTCATATGAAGTCTTCAAAATTTAGTTTATATTTACAATTACATCCTTTTTCATTTGCACTAGCAACATTTCAAGTGCTGGGTAGCTACATGTGGCTAATGGCTACACTGTTGTCCATGGTATGTCTGTATAGTCGGAAAATTCTTAGTATCTGGGTGGATGGACAGATCAGAGGGGATTTTATCTTCCATGAATTGGATTTGATTTGTATAATAACCAGTTACCAACATCGAATAATGTGTGGCATCAGTAGATACCAAACCTGGACTTTTTTATTCCTTGGAAAGTTATTTGGAGTAGATAAGCTAGAAGCTGTGGGTAGTTGGAACTTTTACATTTGGTTGCTCATAATAACTGTATTGTGTAACTGCATTTATTTATATTATATGTACATGGTCCTATTGCTACAAAATTTCATTATATGTCTGTAACTTATAGCATAAATGCAATTCCAACTACAATGAAGATTTTGTGCTGCAACTGGAGAAGGAATTGGTCCAAGCCCGTCTGAGTGAAGCTGAGTCTCAGTGTGCACTAAAGGAGATGCAGGATAAAGTCCTGGATATAGAGAAGGTAAGAACAACATAAATACCGTCACTCCCAAATTAGAAGGGACATGTGATAGATGTACTTATTAAACAGTTAAATTGGACTTGGTGTTTTTATGCATTGGAAACCTTATATATTAGTAACTAAGAGAGGAAAGGAGAAAGAAAATAAGATTCTTAATTATTTGTTGTTGCTATACTACTCAAAGCCCCTTTTTTAAGGGTAAAAAAAAAAAAAGAGTAGAGCCCTTTTAAAGGAAGATAACCAGGGTAATTTGATATGACTATTGAATTATTGAAGAAGAGAAACTTAAGGTATACATAATAACGGTTGTCTTCAAATATTATACCTTCATCTGCAAGAGGTAGGATATGACTAATACATAAACATTTCAGAAAAAAATCTCATCTGAGTGTTACTGTTAAAACTTTCCAAGCTGGAAGGAGTCAAGATGGCGGGAGAAGTAGCAGGCTGAGACTACATCAGGTAGCAGGAGATCAGCTAGATAGCTTATCAAACCATTGCAAACACCTACAAATCCAACGGGAGATTGAAGAGAAGAACAGCAATTCTCGAAACAGAAAATGGACCACTTTCTGAAAGGTAGGACTGGAGGAGAAGTGAATCCAAAGCGACAGGAAGATAGACCGCAGTGGGAGGGGCCGGCTCCCTGCAAACGGCAGAGCAACGGAACCCAAAATCAGGACTTTTAAAAGTCTGCTCCACTGAGGGACTTCGCTCCAGAGGCTAAACCGGGGTGAAGCCCACGCGGAGTCAGTGTGGCCCCAGGTCCCGCAGGGTCACAGAAGGATCGGGGGTGTCTGAGTGTCGCAGAGCTCGCAGGTATTAGAGCAGGGAGGCCGGCTACAGAGACAGAGCCGAGGAGTGAGTTCTCAGCTCGGGGTTACCTTGAACCAGTCGCAGGCTCGGTGAGCTTGGAGCGCAGCCGGAGGCCAGGGTGTTGGGAGTAATTGGGCGCTGTTCTATGAGGGCGCACTGAGGAGTGGGGCCCCGAGCTCTCGGCTCCTCCGGGCCAGAGATTGGAAGGTTGCCATTTTCATTCCTGTCCTCCGGAACTCTACGAAAAGCGTTCAGGGAACAAAAGCTCCAGAAAGCGAACCCGAGCGGATAACTCAGCCCGGCCCCTGATAAGGTCAGTGCAATTCAGCCTCGGGCAGAAACACTTGAGAATCACTACAACAGGCCCCTCCCCCAGAAGATCAACAAGAAATCCAGCCAAGACCAAGTTCGTTTACCAAGGAGAGCAGCGGAATTCCAGAGGAGGAGAAAACAAATCATGGAACTCATGGCTTTCTCCCCATGATTCTTTAGTCTTGAGGTTAATTTAATTTTTTCTTAATTTTATTTTTTTTCTTCTAATTTTTTTTAACTTTTACCCTTTTCTTTTTTAACGTTTTTTAACTAGTTTATCTAATATATATATATTTTTTTTTCTTTTTCATATTTTTTCTTTATTTGTTTTTTTAATATTTTTTTTCTTTCTGAATTTCTTTTTATCCCCTTACTCCCCCCCCATGATTTGGGTCTCTTCTGATTTGGTTAAAGTGCATTTTCCTGGGGTCTTTGCCACCCTTTTAGTATTTTATTTGCTCCTTCATATACTCTTACCTGGACAAAATGACAAGGCGGAAAAACTCACCACAAAAAAAGGAACAAGAGGCAGTACCGAAGGCTAGGGACCTAATCAATACAGACATTGGTAATATGTCAGATCTAGAGTTCAGAATGACGATTCTCAAGGTTCTAGCCGAGCACAAAAAAGGCATGGAGGATATTAGAGAAACCCTCTCAGGAGAGATAAAAGCCCTTTCTGGAGAAATAAAAGAACTAAAATCTAACCAAGTTGAAATCAAAAAAGCTATTAATGAGGTGCAATCAAAAATGGAGGCTCTCACTGCTAGGATAAATGAAGCAGAAGAAAGAATTAGTGATATAGAAGACCAAATGACAGAGAATAAAGAAGCTGAGCAAAAGAGGGACAAATAGCTACTGGACCACGAGGGGAGAATTTGAGAGATAAGTGACACCATAAGACGAAACAACATTAGAATAATTGGGATTCCAGGGGTGCCTGGGTGGCTCAGTGGGTTGGGCCTCTGCCTTCAGCTCAGGTCATGATCTCAGGGTCCTGGGATCGAGTCCCGCGTCGGGCTCTCTGCTTGGCGGGGAGCCTGCTTCCTCCTTTCTCTCTCTGCCTGCCTCTCTGCCTACTTGTGATCTCGCTCTGTCAAATTAAAAAAAAAAAAAAAAGAATAATTGGGATTCCAGAAGAAAAAGAGAGAGAGAGGGGAGCAGAAGGTATATTGGAGAGAAATATTGTAGAGAATTTCCCTAATGTGGCAAAGGGAACAAGCATCAAAATCCAGCAGGTGCAGAGAACCCCCCTCAAAATCAACAAGAATAGGTCCACACCCCGTCACCTAATAGTAAAATTTACAAGTCTTAGCAACAAAGAGAAAATCCTGAAAGCAGCCTGGGAAAAGAAGTCTGTAACATACAATGGTAAAAATATTAGATTGGCAGCAGACATATCCACAGAGAACTGGCAGGCCAGAAAAAACTGGCATGATATATTCAGAGCACTAAATGAGAAAAACTTGCAGCCAAGAATACTATATCCAGCTAGGCTATCATTGAAAATAGAAGGAGGGGTGCCTGGGTGGCTCAGTGGTTAAAGCCTCTGCCTTCGGCTCAGGTCATGATCTCAGGGTCCTGGGATCAAGCCCCACATCAGGCTCTCTGCTCAGCAGGGAGCCTGCCTCCTCCTCCTGTCTCTCTCTGCCTGCCTCTCTGCCTACTTGTGATCTTTCAAATAAATTAAAAAAAAAATCTTAAAAAAAAAATGGAGAGATAAAAAGCTTCCAGGGCAAACAAAAACTGAAAGAATTTGCAAACACCAAACCAGCTCTACAGGAAATATTGAAAGGAGTCCTCTAAGCAAAGAAAGAGCCTAAAAGTAGTAGATCAGAAAGGAACAGAGACAATATACAGTAACAGTCACTTTACAGGCTATACAATGGCACTAAATTCAGATCTCTCAATAGTTACCCTGAATGTTAATGGGCTAAAGCCCCAGTCAAAAGACACAGGGTATCGAATGGATAAAAAAACAAAACCCATCAATATGCTGCCTACAAGAAACTCAGTTTAACCCGAAGACACCTCCTGATTTAAAGCGAGGTGGTGGAAAACAATTTACCATGCTAATGGACATCAAAAGAAAGCTGGGGTGGCAATCCTTCTATCAGATCAATTAGATTTTAAGCCAAAGACTATAATAAGAGATGAGGAAGGACACTATATCATACCCAAAGTGTCTGTCCAACAAGAAGATGTAACAATTTTAAATATCTGTGTCCCTAACGTGGGAGCAGCCAACTATATAAACCAACTACTAACAAAATCAAGGAAACACATCAACAATAATACAATAATAATAGGGGACTTGAACACTCCCCTCACTGAAATGGACAGATCATCCAAGCAAAAGATCAACAAGGAAATAAAGGCCTTAAATGACACACTGGACCAGATGGACATCACAGATATATTCAGAACATTTCATCCCAAAGCAACAGAATACACATTCTTCTCTAGTGCACATGGAACATTCTCCAGAATAGATCACATCCTGGGTCATAAATCAGGTCTTAACCAGTATCAAAAGTTTGGGATCATTCCCTGCATATTTTCAGACCACAATGCTCTGAAGCTAGAACTCAGTCACAAGAGGAAATTTGGAAAGAACCCAAATACATGGAAACTAAACAGCATCCTTCTAAAGAATGAATGGGTCAACCAAGAAATTAAAGAAGAATTGAAAAAATTCATGGAAACAAATGATAATGAAAACAAAACTGTTCAAAATCTGTGGGACACAGCAAAGGCAGTCCTGAGAGGAAAATATATAGCGGTACAAGCCTTTCTCAAGAAACAAGAAAGGTCTCAGGTACACAACCTAACCCTACACCTAAAGGAGCTGGAGAAAGAACAAGAAAGAAACCCTAAACCTAGCAGGAGAAGAGAAATCATAAAGATCAGAGCAGAAATCAATGAAATAGAAACCAAAAAAAAACAATAGAACAAATCAACGAAACTAGGAGTTGGTTCTTTGAAAGAATTAATAAGATTGATAAACCCCTGGCCAGACTTATCAAAAAGAAAAGAGAAAGGACCCAAATAAATGAAATCATGAATGAAAGAGGAGAGATCACAACCAACACCAAAGAAATACAAAGAATTATAAGAACATACCATGAGCAACTCTATGCCAACAAATTTGACAATTTGGAAAAAATGGATGCATTCCTAGAGACATATAAACTAGCACAACTGAACCAGGAAGAAATAGAAAACCTGAACAGACCCATAACCAGTAAGGAGATTGAAACAGTCATCAAAAATCTCCAAACAAACAAAAGTCCAGGGCCAGACGGCTTCCCGGGGGAATTCTACCAAACATTTAAAGAAGAACCAATTCCTATTCTCCTGAAACTGTTCCAAAAATTAGAAATGGAAGGGAAACTTCCAAACTCATTTTATGAGGCCAGCATCACCTTGATCCCAAAACCAGACAAGGATCCCATCAAAAAAGAGAACTACAGACCAATATCCTTGATGAACACAGATGTGAAAATTCTCACCAAAATACTAGCCAATAGGATCCAACAGTACATTAAAAGGATTATTCACCACGACCAAGTGGGATTTATTCCAGGGCTGCAAGGTTGGCTCAACATCCGCAAATCAATCAATGTGATAAAACACATTAATAAAAGAAAGAACAAGAACCATATGATACTCTCCATAGATGCTGAAAAAGCATTTGACAGAGTACAGCATCCCTTCCTGATCAAAACTCTTCAAAGTGTAGGGATAGAGGGCACATACCTCAATATTATCAAAGCCATCTATGAAAAACCCACCGCAAATATCATTCTCAATGGAAAAAACTGAAAGCTTTTCCACTAAGGTCTGGAACAAGGCAGGGATGTCCATTATCACCACTGCTATTCAACATAGTACTAGAAGTCCTAGCCTCAGCAATCAGACAACAAAAAGAAATTAAAGGCATCCAAATCGGCAAAGAAGAAGTCAAATTATCACTCTTTGCAGATGATATGATACTATATGTGGAAAACCCAAAAGACTCCATTCCAAAACTGCTAGAACTTGTACAGGAATTTAGTAAAGTGTCGGGATATAAAATCAGTGCACAGAAATCAGTTGCATTTCTCTACACCAACAACAAGACAGAAGAAAGAGAAATTAAGGAGTCAATCCCGTTTACAATTGCACCCAAAACTATAAGATACCTAGGAATAAACCTAACCAAAGAGGCTAAGAACCTATACTCAGAAAACTATAAAGTATTAATGAAAGAAATTGAGGAAGACACAAAGAAATGGAAAAATGTTCCATGCTCCTGGATTGGAAGAACAAATATTGTGAAAATGTCAATGCTACCTAAAGCAATCTACACATTTAATGCAATCCCTATCAAAATCCCATCCAATTTTTTTCAAAGAAAGGGAACAAATAATCCTAAAATTTATATGGAACCAGAAAAGACCTCGAATAGCCAAAGGAATATTGAAAAAGAAAGCCAAAGTGGGTGGCATCACAATTCCGGACTTCAAGCTCTATTACAAAGCTGTCATTACGAAGATAGTATGGTTCTGGCACAAAAACAGACACATAGATCAATGGAACAGAATAGAGAGCCCAGAAATAGACCCTCCACTCTACGGTCAACTAATCTTTGACAAAGCAGGAAAGAATGTCCAATGGAAAAAAGACAGTCTCTTCAACAAATGGTGTTGGGAAAATTGGACAGCCACATGCAGAAAAATGAAATTGGACCATTTCCTTACACCACACATGAAAATAGACTCAAAATGGATAAAGGACCTCAATGTGAGAAAGGAATTTATCAAAGTCCTTGAGGAGAACACAGGCAGCAACCTCTTCGATCTCAGCCGCAGCAACGTCTTCCTAGGAACATCACCAAAGGCAAGGGAAGCAAGGGCAAAAATGAACTATTGGGATTTCATTATGATCAAAAGCTTTTGCACAGCAAAGGAAACAGTTAACAACCAAAAGACAACTGACAGAATGGGAGAAGATATTTGCAAACGACATATCAGATAAAGGGCTAGTGTCCAAAATCTATAAAGAACTTAGCAAACTCAACACCCAAAGAACAAATAATCCAATCAAGAAATGGGCAGAGGGCATGAGCAGACATTTCTGCAAAGAAGACATCCAGATGGCCAACAGACACATGAAAAAGTGCTCCACATCACTAGGCATCAGGGAAATACAAATCAAAACCACAATGAGATACCACCTCACACCAGTCAGAATGGCTAAAATTAACAAGTCAGGAAATGAAAGATGCTGGCAAGGATGCGGAGAATGGGGAACCCTCCTACACAGTTGGTGGGAATGCAAGCTGGTGCAACCAGTCTGGAAAACAGCATGGAGGTTCCTCAAAAAGTTGAAAATAGAACTACCCTATGACCCAGCAATTGCACTACTGGGTATTTACTCTAAAGATACAAATGTAGTGATCCGAAGGGGCACATGCACCTGAATGTCTATAGCAGCAATGTCCACAATAGGCAAACTATGGAAAGAACCTAGATGTCCATCAAGAGATGAATGGATAAAGAAGATTTGGTATATATACACGATGGAATACTATGCAGCCATCAAAAGAAATGAAATCTTGCCATTTGCCACGACGTGAATGGAACTAGAGGGTATCATGCTTAGTAAAATAAGTCAGTCGGAGAAAGACAACTACCATATATGATCTCCCTGATATGAGGAAGTGGAGATGCAACATGGGGGGTTAGGGGTGTAGGAGAAGAATAAATGAAACAAGATGGGATCGGGAGGGAGGCAAACCACAAGTGACTCTTAATCTCACAAAACAAACTGAGGGTTGTTGGGGGGAGGGGGTTCGGGAGAGGGGGGTGGGGTTATGGACATTGGGGAGGGTATGTGCTATGGTGAGTGCTGTGAAGTGTGTAAACCTGGCGATTCACAGACCTGTATCCCTGGGGATAAAAATACACTATATGTTTATAAAAAAATAAAAATAAATAAATTTTAAAAAACAACAAAAAAACTTTCCAAGTTACTGTAAGCCACCTCAGGATATGTGGGAAGATCTTAGCCTAAGGTGTACTTACAGAAGATAATTTCCTCTTTTCAAGGTGACTAAAGAACTTTAAGGATTAGATAAGAAACAGAAATGCTTTTAGGTTTCTTAAAATTCTCAGACTTGAAAGTCTGTGTTCTAGATCATAAACCCTGTATCTCTTTTTTATCATCTGTAAAATTATTAATGGCTTGGGCTTTATGTTAAGTTTGTTCTTCTCACTATTAGGTAGTATCTAGCTATTGAATCAAAGCTTTATACATAATGAACATGATAGCCTCAAACTGAAATAAAGCAGGGTCCAGCTACCTATAAGTAGTAGCGAAATAATTTTGCTAGAAATATACTTGCTATTTTTATATAATTTTTGGAGAATTTATTCTCTTATTTGTTGAGAAAAAGACACCAAGAATGCCATAAAAAATGTATAATAAAATATTAGGTTTCTAAGTTAGGAGTACTGTGGGTACCATAATGTAGGTAAGAATCTTGACCTTTCAGTTTTGAATATTTGGTAGAAAAAAATTCCCTTGGGTCCAGTTTAAAAATGAATTTCTTAAATAGCATTGTTGTTATTCGTGTTATATAGTAGAAAGGAAATTAGAAGGCTTCATGCTTCCTATGGTTAATTTCTTCATGTAGGATTCTCTTTTTATGCATATATAGTAAATTTCTGGTATGCAATTGAGAAAATATTTAGTCCATCATAAAATTGTATAGTTTGCAAGCATAGCTTTATTCATGATCTCTGTGGGCTAAATTTTTCATGTCCTATTTTATAGTCATATTTTAGAAATATTTTAGAGTTATAAAATTTCATAGATTCAGTACTTGAAATCTCAGTAGTGCCTCAGTTGACTCAAGGAGATTTTACTAGGGCCTAATTTAGGATCTCTTGGTCATGGCTCAGAGTAATAAGTGCTATCCTGTATCCTAAGGAGGGTCTTTCAGTAAAGCAGGAGATTAGTCTAAATCTTGTACTCTTTTTTTCTTTTAAGATTTTATTTATTTATTTTTATTTTACAGAGACAGAGATCACATGTAGGCAGAGAGGCAGGCAGAGAGAGAGGAGGAAGCAGGCTCCCTGCTGAGCAGAGAGCCCAATGCGGCTTGATCCTAGGATCCTGGGATCATGACCTGAGCGGAAATCAGAGGCTTTAACCCACTGAGCCACCCAGGCGCCCCTAAATCTTGTACTCTTTAAGCAAATATTTAGATCACCCTAGTATTAATTTCTTAAATATAAATAATAAAAAAGTTTAAAGATTTTATACTCCTTTCCAAAGTGACATGCTGAGAAAATACAACAAAACAGGCTTTGGACAATTTGTTTCCATAGATCTTTAAAATATGAATGATGTCCATGCTTTGTTTGGAGTCCTAATCAGGGATTAGTAAGCTTATTGCCATGTTGAAAAACATTTTGCTCCTGTTGCTTTAAAACTTTGATTACTGTTTTATTAAGCAAAGCAAGTTAGACTTTTTGTGTCCTCAAAATTCAGTACAGTTACCCTCATACATTCCCTGTGGAAATGTAAAACAGTAAATCTGCTTTGGAAAAGCTTGACGGTTTCTTAAAAGTAGCAGTTCTGCTCCTTAGTATAAACTCAAGAGAATTAAAAATATAGGTCCACACACTTCTACACAAATGTTCCTAACATTTTCATAATAGTAAGTGGAAACAACTCAAATTTCTGTCAGCTGTGAATGGATAAATAAAATGTAGCATATACACAGGATGGAATATTATTTGTCAGTAAAAAGGAATGAACCTTGAAAACACTCTAGGTGAAAGAAGCTAGTCATAAATGTCCACGTATTGTGTGATTCCATTGATATGAAACGTCCAGAATAGACAAATCCATAGAGACAGAAAGTAGACTAGTGTTTGTCAGGGGCTGTGGGGAGGGGAAATGTGGAGTGACTGCTAATGGGTATAGGGTTTCATTTTGGGGTGATTAAAATGTTCTGAAATTAGTTTGTGGTGATGGTTGTACAACCCTGTGAATATTGGGTTAAAACCACTGACCGGTGCACATTAAAAGGGTAAGTTTTATGGTTTGTGATTTATATCTCAGTAAAAGTGTGTAAAATTAAGTATAGGTACATATGGGACAAAATAGCTCTTACTACATATGTTTTATTTAATTTTATTCTTAAATTTAAAAATTCCATATTGTATTTTCTCTTGCTTCAGAGAAACAACTCCTTTCCTGATGAGAATAACATTGCAAGACTTCAGGAAGAGCTCATTGCTGTGAAACTGAGAGAAGCAGAAGCTATTATGGGATTGAAAGAACTTAGACAACAAGTCAAGGATTTAGAGGAACACTGGCAGGTATATCATTATATTTTATATGTTTTTTAAAAAGCAGGTGAAACCTGAATACCCAGTTTGTGTGAATTTGAAGTAGCTGATGATCAACACTAGGATGTGAGTTTAAAATGAGAAGGACTCTTTCAATATAGAAATCTGAGAGCACTTATAAGTTGAAGGTACCTTTAAGCTGTTTCTCCCTTTTTAATTCATTTAATTAAAAAACAGATAAAATAGAGATCAAATCTTATATCATTGTGATTTATATAACTTCTCTAAAGAATCAAAAAATTTTCCTTTATATAGGACATATTTCTTCTGTTGATATTAAATCCATTAGTATGAAACAACAGAGGGTGACACTAACATAAATTTGTCTATACCTTTGTAAACTTTTGAAAATTGGTTATCTAACAAAATCAGGCATTTATATGCCTGCAAATTTATTCACATATGAGGGAAAGTGTTGACAAGGAACAAACAAACAAACAAAAAATGAGTCTAGAAGACAGAGCAAGAAGGGAGAGAGGGAAGAAAAAAAACACTATATACCATTTCAGAATAGTGACTTTGGTTTGAATTTGGGGTGGGGCTACATCTAGCAAAGACTGAAATTAGTCCTTAACATTGCCACAGCTTTTTTCTTTCCCCAGAAATGTCAGGCAGCAATAAACTGGAAATTAAAAACAAAAGAAAACTAATGCTTCACCATGGATATTTTGAGAACATTCCTAATATTCCTTCCTTAATTCATGAATGGCCCCATTTTTTTTTCTTGGGATTTCATTAAAAATGTGGAAATCTCTCTTAAAATAAATTTAGGGTAAAAATTATATTCTTTACAATTTGCCACAGTATAAACAGATTTGAACTATATCTGAGCTTGTATTCCAGATCTGCCACTTGTTGGCTATACTGACCTTTTAAAGTTACTTAATCACCACCATTTCCATCATCTGACCTGGATAATGACTATTATAGTGCCTAACTATTAAGGTTTTCTGGGAATTAAATAAAATAATGTATACACAGTGCTAAATATAGTAGTGGGCATGAAATAAGTGCCAGGAAAATCAGCTCTTATTTTGATAGTGGGAACATTTGTTGCAATATAATTTTTTTTGTCTTTTAGCGCCACTTAGCTCGTACTACTGGGAGGTGGAAAGACCCACCTAAGAAAAATGCTGTGAATGAGTTACAGGATGAACTGATGACCATTCGACTTAGAGAAGCTGAAACTCAGGCAGAAATAAGAGAAATAAAACAAAGGATGATGGAAATGGAAACACAGGTATGATGGGAAAGCCTGGTAGCTTTAAAAAATACCATTAGCAGGGTGCCTGGGTGTCTCAGTGGGTTAAAGCCTCTGCCTTCAGCTCAGGTCATGATCCCAGGGTCCTGGGATCTAGCCCCGCATTGGGCTCTCTTCTCAGCGGGGAGCCTGCTTCCTCCTCTTTCTCTGCCTACTTGTGATCTCTGTCAAATAAATAAATAAAATCTTAAAAATACCATTAGCATGGGGTGCCTGCGCGGCTCAATTGGTTAAATATTGGATTCTTGATTTTTGGCTCAGGTCATGAGCTCAGGGTCATGAGATCAAGCCCCACATTGGGTTCCAGACAGATTGTGAAGTCTGCTTAAGGTTCTCTCTCTCCCTTTCTCTGTCCCTCCCGCATCCCCTCACATGCTCTCACTCTCTCTCTAAAAACAAAAACAAAAACTATTAGCAGATCAAAAGTTTATGCACGGGTTATATCATCCTTAAAATAGAGCTAAAAGATGGATATATGAAACCGTCTAGACTAATTTCCTAGCCCAAATAAAAAGGGCTAAAAATTATAGCCTTTGATATCAGAGATTTAGTGTCTTCTTTGACCTAGTCCGCAAAGTTTGAACAAGTCATAAAACTACATTTAACTTTGTTCCCTTGTTGCACAACTTGAGAGGCAATAGTCATGTAGAGCAAAATTTCTCAACCTTGACTATTAAAATGGGTTTTGAACCACGTAATCCTTTATTTGGGGGACTGGCCTGTGCATTGTAGGATGTTTACCAGCATCCCTCTACCAACTCGATCCCCAGTATCACTGTACCCCCCACTCCAGGTTGTGATGACCAGAGCATCTCTACACATTGCCAGATGTCCCCTTGGGGCAGAATTTCCCCTGGTTGAGAACAATTGGTATATACTATAATGTGAATGATTCTTCCTTATGTGTAATTTGGTGACTCTGAGCATTAATTCCAAAGTTACACTTCTTCTCAGATCTTCCCTTTCTGTAATAAATTCTACCTTAAATATACTTGATTTAAGATCTGCAAAATCCTTTTTATGGAATTCATTTGCATTATAAACCACTTTTGATTTTTATGTGGTACATTTGTGTGGACCGTATTCTGTATTCTCTGTAATGTTATTTGGTTTTCAAAATATCTAGTCAGTAGGGGGCATAGTTAACTCAGGTATCATTCTGCATACCTATGTGCAAAATGATCATCCTAACTTGAACATGGTAACAAGAATCTGTAAATCCTTTAGGTTAAATATATCTTGTTTTACATTGTTCAAAGTTATTTTCTTGTATTTTTCATTAAAATTAAAAATAACAGTAAGATTATGAAAATTAGAAATCTAGCTTTTGTAATGGGAAGTTTTATTTTTATAACAGATTTCATCTTCATGTACATATTAAAGATGCAAGCACAGCTTTTAAGCCAATTGTTCAGGTTTTCCATTGTTCAGGTTTTCTTTCTTTCTTTCTTTCTTTCTAAGACTTTATCTACTTATTTGTGAGAGAGCATGAGCGAGCACAAGCAGGGGGAGGGGTATAGGGAGAAAGAGAAGCAGGATCCCTGCTGAGCAGGGAGCCCAACAAGGGGCTCAATCCCAGGACTCTGGGATCATGACCAGAGTGGAAGGCAGACGCTTAACAGACAGAGCCACCCAGCCACCCCAGATTTTATTTAAGAGTGATAAATGAATCAAATTCATAAACATCGTTTTGAGAACTTTTGAATACAAAACACTGTCCAGCCATCAGAGAACTTAACACCTAAGAAATCAGGCATGCACAAAACTACGTTTAATATAATTCACTATATGACATGATGGTTATTAATCATTTCTGATTAATGTAAGTCGAGTCATTATGCTGTACATCTTAGACTTACGCAGTGCTCTGTATCAATTATATCTCAATAAAATCTAAAAAAAATGTATAATTCAGAAATTTGGTAATTAAAGAGTTTGATGAAAACTGCTGTGGAAAATAGGAGGGCAAAATTAATTCCTATTAGATGGCTTAGGAAAAGGCTTCCTAAGGATTTGTATTTTGAATTGTACCTGATTAAGTGTGATTTTGGATCGATTTTGCTGGAAGAAGAATCACATAAAGTACTTTTTCCTAAATGCCAGTGCTTGAACTGATGATGGTCCATATTGAGCATCCAGATTAAGAGATTTGTCCTTGTTGATACATTTCAGCTCCTTCATTGCAGTGCCTTTTAGAAAATGCCACCTAGGGAGTCCACCTTAGTTTACTGAGCCCCACTCTTCTTCCTGTATACCAGTTTTTGCTCTTACAGATAGTGCTGCTCTGAACATTCTTGTACATGTTTCCTTGTGGATAGCTCTGAGAGTTTCTTCAGGACAGGGATCCTTATCTCTTTTTTATACTATAAACTCCTTTGGCAGTCTGAACCCTCTGGACCCTTTCTCAAAATAATGTTTTTTAATGCATAAAGTAAAATACATAGGATTGCAAAGCAAACCAGTTATATTGAGGTACGGTTATCAAAATACTGAAAAACAAACAAGTGTATGATACAGCACACATACAGAGACATACACAACATGTTCAGATGGCTAGATTCAGGTTTCTGGTATTTTGGATTTTTTGTATTCTGTTGTCATTCTGTTTTTGTTCATCTGCATGTAATGTATTTGTCCCTCTGCTCACCCTTGATGTTTTCTGTCTTATTTTTAGCGGTTTGAAGATGAAACGATTTGATGTACTTTTTTGCTTTGTTTTTTTTCCTCTGAGTTTCTTGGCCCTCTGGCTTTGTGTCTACCATGAAATTTGGAAAATTCTTGGTTGTTTCTTCTTCAAATATATATTCTGTCCACCCATACTCTTTTCTCCTCCTGGGATTCCCATTACACATACATTAGATTATTTGATGTTGATAGTAACTCTTGAATGTTCTCTTCTTTTTTCCCCCTCATTATTTGTTCCCTTTGTGTTTCAGTTTCTCTTGACTTAAATATTTCTGTTGACTTACTATTAAGTTCACTGATTCTTTCTTCCACTTTGTGAGTTGTCTGATGAGCCATTGAAGGCATTCTTCAAATATATTACTGTGTTTTTTATTTCTAGCATTTCCGTTTGATTCTTTCAGTTTTTATTTCTGTGTCAATACTAACTATGTGATCTTGCATGGTTTTCACTTTTCTGTTAGAGCCTTTAGCATATTAATCAGTGTTACTGTAAATTCCCTGTCAGGTAATTTAATATCTGTGTCATATGTGAGGCTGATTCTGTGGATTGCTTTGTCTCTTGGTAGTGTTTTGTTTTTTCGTACCTGTTCCTATGCTTTGTAATTTTTTGCTGAAAATTGAATATCTTGAGTAGGACAATAGACTAAGGTAAGTAGTTTTTAATGCCTGGAAATGGGCATACCTTTTCCTCTGCTAGGCCTTTAATGTGGGGGATTTGAGTTAATATAGTCAGGAGTTGGGCTGGGTTTGAGGTTTGTTGTTTCTGTGGTTACCCTCATTGCACCACAGCCTTCAAATTCCTCTAGCATTATCTTATTTTTAGATTGGGGGCTGGTTTGCCAGCGGGTTTTCTCAGTGTCTTTAGTTCTTCCATTTACACAGCATTTCAGAGAGAGTCTCCAGGGTGTTCCACTGTTACTTGTTGCAGGAAGTTGGAGGGGCAGAAGTCTTCCCCATTTTTCTGATAAAGCCTCAGTCTTAGGCTGCATTGTGTCCCTGGATCTGGAGTGTTTGACTTTCTTAGTGCTCCGCCTGACCACCAGCATAGTCCTAGGCCCACAATATAGTCCTATCCCATTCTCAGGTGTAGTGGTTTCCCCAGTGCTCCAGAGGCAACAGTGTTTCTTGGCCTGTGAAGCCTGTGAAACCTTTTATTCCCTAGAGGAGGGAAGGTTTAGTGCTCCTTCTCCATTGCCTGCTATTCTCCCTCAAGCCTATGCTGTGGAGATCTCTTTCTTAAGACTCTCATCAGTCTTTTTTGTGTGTACCTTTTTGGGTCCATGAAGAAAAAGTGTATAAGAGCTTGTGAACTCTGCTGTTCCCATTGGGCTCCACACTCTCTAGCCAGCCAGCACTTGGCCACAACCAATTTAATAATATTCCAGCTGAATTATTCTAACAACTTCTGGCTTCATCTGCCCTGTCTGTCCTTAGATTTGGGGATAGTTGGTTGCCTTGCAACCTTTCCTCTCTGGTTTTAACAAGAATCATGAATTTAGAGTTTGGCTTTTTTTTTTTTTTTTTTTTTAAAGAATAGGAGTAGTGCTCTTTATATTCTACAACCCCATCAGGAATCAAAACTCTTTATTATGATGTATCTATTTAAAATTACTTTCTTTTTTCAATTTATTTCTTCCCTTTTTTCTATTTTTTCCCCTCCTTTCTTCCTTTTTTATTGGGTTAATTTAGATGTTTCTTTTTCTACTACTGGTTTGACTTTTATGATTCCTTTTCTGTTAGTGTTTATTACCTGAAAAAAATAAAAAATGCTCACCTGACTGAACAAAGTTTGATGTTGATAATCATCTCCGTCTTCCTTCTAAACTGTATAAGGGCCTTGGAAGATCTTCATTGCTCTTCCATTGTTGTTTTATGGAGTCAGTGCTTATTTGGATTTGTCTATCTATTTGCTAACTTTTTGCTCTCTGTTACTTTTATTTAATAGTTTCTTTCCGATTTCAATCATGCATTGTAAACTCTCACTTTCCTAAAGGTAAATGTACTTTTTTTCCTCACTCTGGTATGATAGTTTAGCTGAATATGTTATTGTAGGATGAAATTTATTTTTTAAGCACTACAAACTTTTCCTTTTGAGATGTCTGCTGAGTATTTCACTTCCCCCTTACCAGATACTCAGTTTTGCCCTTGATTTATCTCTTTTTTTGGTGAGCCTTCTATTTTGTTAAAATGTTTCTTAGTGAGGGTTTATTTGTATTTATCCTGTCTAAAACTCGTTGTGTTTCCCAGAATGTGGATTCATATATATAATTTTTCCAGTTGTAAGAATTCTTAAGTATTGTCATCTCCTAGACTATCATAGCTCACTATTTCCTTTGTGTTCTGTTTTATTCTGCAACCTCTATTAGTTGTATTTTGTACCTCCTTACTCTCGTCTATGTCCCTTGACCTCTTCTGGAACACTGTTTCTTCAGTGTAGCTAATTCTCTGTTTAACCCTTTAATTAATTTTTAACATTACTGACTATATTAACTTCTAGAAGTTGTATTTGGTTGTTTTTCAAATTTGCTAAATCTGTTTTTTTTAAAAGATTATTCATTTATTTATTTGAGAGAGAGAGAGAACACATATATGAGTGGGGGGAAGAGCAGAAGGAGAGGGACAAGCAGACTGTGCTGACCGGGGAGCTGGGCACTGGACTCCATGCCATGACCCTGAGCTCATGAGCTAAGCCAAAATCAAGAATTGGATGCTTAACCAACTGAGCTATCCAGGCACCCCTAAATTTGCTAAATGTTTTTTGATAGTTACTTGTTCTTTGCTTATGTTTTTGCTCTCTCTTTTTATGTCTTATCATTTTAAATAAACTATTTTATACAAAGTCCTTACATGATAATTATCTAGAGTTTTTAAAGAATTTGTTCTTGTTATCCTTTTGTCTACAATTTCTCACTTACTGTTAATTTTCGGTTTTATGTGTGGAGTTTTATAATTTTGGATCATGGACTTGTAGTGAGGGGTCAAGGGAGGGATTCTATCTGTGGGAATTCTTTGCAGCTTATGTTGAATTTATATCTTCTGAAGTGTAGTTATTTGTTCAGTGGTAGAAGCGAAGACAGTAAAAAGAAGTTGCAGAACATTTTGAATCTAAGTACTGAGTACTTAGATTAAGTACTGAATCTAAGCACTAAGAAGATCACTATTTTGTAGACAAATAGGAAGAAGAGTAAAAGTAAAAATGAAGAAACTCAGAAATGGTAGAAAGTTTTGGAGCTTAAAACTGTTACATGATGCAGATTTTTTAATAAAACTGGAGGGTGGGTTGTTTTTATTGAGTGAAGTAGAATAGGTGTAATAATAGTAACAACCAAGGATTTATTAAGTATCTGTTTAATTTCAGACATTATGTGAGATTCCTTTCATAAACTTTACTCATGTGATTCTTACAACACAGCCTTTGAAGTCTAGTCATAATATCTATGCTTATACTAGTGTACTGGATTTGATGGGATTAGGTAAATTTAGCAAGGTTGAAAAACTGTAAAATGAGGAACCAGATTCTTCTGTCTTCGACTGTAAAATCCCTACTGTTTCTTTCAGACCCCTAATAGAATCTTAGGGTTGAAAGAAATCAGGCTATGTGGAGCCTGCATGGGGAAACTACTTCATGTCAGTCAAATTAAGGTCTCTATATATTTTTTAGCATGTTCTATAGTTTTAATACATTAAACACCAACATTTATTGAGTTATTTCTATATATTAAGTGCTGTTCCATGTAATCTCTCATTTAATACTGAAGAGACCCGAATAAGAAATAGGGAGTATTTTTATATACATTTTTCAAATAAAAAAATAGAAATATTATAACTAGTTTGCTTAATCACCAAATAACAAGTCAGAATTCAAAACCAGTTCATGTTCCTTAAAATGACTGTGCTGTACATTGGAATATAGAAGTGCATATGACACATTTCATGACATAAAGGATTTTACAGTCTAGTAAATGGTGATGGTACTTTTCAATCAGTCTGTCCTTTTGGGAATGGGAAAGAGGAGTTAAATTCATCATATTTCTGTATCTACTCATTTGTATGATACTGCCTATTTCAGAAATTAATACTTCAGGGTCTGTGTAAACATTCTTTAAGTTTGTAGATAGTTATTGTATAAACAGAAAGGAAGAGTTTCTAATATAGACCTTAAGTATCTTCTGGATGACTCGATTTTTTAAAGCACATTTATAATTTTTTTTAGCATTTAACTATTATATGTTAAATAAAACCACCTGTAACTGATAGCATTTTACATAATGTTATTGAGATATAATGGGGAGGTAAAAATTTGTAGATTTTTTGGGGGTCTTTAAAGTCTGAGTATTTATATTTTTAATTATTAGAATCAGATCAACAGTAACCATCTTCGAAGAGCGGAACAAGAGGTGATTAGTTTGCATGAGAAAGTGCAGTATCTTTCGGCACAGAACAAAGGACTACATACTCAATTAAGTGAAGCAAAGCGCAAACAAGCAGAGATTGAATGCAAGGTAAATATACTGGCTACCTAATGTTTTTGTCAATGTAATAATGCCTTTTTTGTTTTGTCTCTTCATTATTTTAAAGGCAATAAAACCAAAAAGAGCTAGTTTGATTTCCCATTTTTCCTGGATTTGGTTTGGTGGTTGCTTTCAGACAGGGCTAGCTCATCTTGCTGTGAGGTGGATTTCAGGCAGGAAACCTCATTTCACCCACTCGGTTAAATGCCAGTTTAGGAAATTAAGTTAACCAAGTGGCTGAAAATTGGTATCTCTTTATAATTTTTCTTTTGACTTGTAGCTCTTTAAAACCAAAGCTTTTAAAATCACAACCAAATAGATAGGTAATTTAGGGAGATTAGGGCAACTCTGCTTTGATTGGTATGGTATAGTATGCACTCAATATTGATATATGTTTTCTGGGTAGAGAGCAGAAGTGAATTTGCCCATGGTTTGGGAAAATTGTGTACATTTCCCATTATTATTTTAATCAGTTTTTCTATTTTTTTTATGCATGAAGTATTTGGATTTATAAAGCTTCAAAAAGTATTTGAATGCAAGTAAATGTTTTCCTGAAGTCAGTTGCCAGTACAGCTGTGGTGAGAGAGTGAGGGGATGAGGAGTGGGGTGGGACGAGGAGGGGGGTAGAACAAGAGAGAGTGAGTGTGAGAGAAAGAGGAATAACTAAAGATATGACTGTGGTCTCAGCATTAGAATAGATTACTAAGGACAAGTTATGGAATTTTAAAAATAAAGTAGGCATCCATCTTTCCATGGTGATACAGCAGGAATGATGCCCTTTAAGATTCTAGCCTTATTATTCTATGATAAGAAATAAGACTTTCATTGGTACATATGAAACTGTAATTCCATCAACTTGTTCTGGTGTCATTAAAAACCCGGAGTGAAGCTTGAGTGGTTTATCAGTGTCACTGAAATCCAGAGATGAAATTACATCCTAATAAATATGCATGGCTGTTGCAATTTACACTGACAGAAATCTGTAGGCAGTACTGAAATTTGTGCTAACTTAAAATTAGTCCCTCTAGAAGGATGTGACTAGACTAATTTAAAAATAAAATGATGTGACATGAGGTTATATCAGTTTGTCTTTCTAGTATGTGATTAAGTTTTTATGATGCCATATTGTCTGTGCTGACTTATTTTTAATAAAGAGCTAAACTTAATCTCTTTTCAAATTTTTGGGGTTTTTCTTAAACATAGGTTGATAACATTGTTACTGGATTTAATATTGTTCCTCAAATGCCTTAGCACCTTTTAAGGAAAGTAAGGTGTTCTTTGGAAATAATTTTTGGAATTTGCTGATGAAAAAAAATATATATATTTTTTTAAATTTAAGTAATAGGCTTAGATTCAGAATTTTAGAAAATTTTAAGAACCAATATTTTATTTTATTTTTAACTGTTCAGTAATAAATCTGTGAATTTGTTACAGATGCTGATTCTTATATCTGTGTGTGTGTGTTTAGCCTGTATATTGATTTATTCAATGTTTTGTAATACCTTTTGTAGATTTTGAGAATGCCCAGTGTGTCATTACCGTAGCACCTAGTACATTGTAATTAAGTGTATATATTTTACCTTGTTATACTGGAACACTTCAGGAATAAACCCTAACTTTTTCAAGGAAGCTAGTCCTTCAATTATGGAAATCTGGTTCATTTTCATTTAGTTTTTTTTTTTTAGATTTTAATTATTTGAGAGCAAGAGAGCATATATATAGGTATGCACACAAGTTGGGCAGAGGGTTAGAGGTAGGGGAAGAAGCAGACTTTCCACTGAGCCGGGAGCCGGACTCTGGGCTCCATCCCAGGACCCTGAGATCATGACCTGAGCTGAGGGCAGACACTTAACTGATTGAGTCACCTAGGTGCCCACCCCTCATTTAGTTATGTATGATTATAGCTTGTAATTTGTTGATAAATAACTATTAAATTTCATTTTATTTTTCATTTATGTAATATATCAGGATACTGTTTTTAGTATTAATGTTATTTTCCTTCTACAACTGAATTTGAATGTTCCTGCTTAAAGATGAAAATAGTGTAAGTCTGTAATCTCCAATATGAAAATTCAAAACACTCTGAAACCCAAACATTTTCTCATAAATTTCATAGAAATTCATTTGGGTGGCCATTTATAATTTTTGTTTTATCCTACTTGGTGTGAATATTTATACTTTACAGTTTCATCGTGTTTAATACTGAGCAAGGTATTTCATTATGGATGCAACCTTGTAGATAATACTAACGTATGGTTCATGTATCTTATTATTTTTCTAAAATCTAAAAAATAAAAAATTCTATGATATATTTAGTCCCCAAGATTTTAGTAATGAGATTGTGGGATTTCCTACATAAATCTAAATTTGAAGAGTATAGAAGGATTTTATATTCTCGAGTTCTACATTTATAAAGAGAGATACCAATATAGATATGTATATATCCATGGAAAAGGTATAGTACAGTAATTCATATATAAACTTGTAAAATTATATGATAAATAATTTTAAGTAGGAAAGTCAGAGTATTTTACTATGATTATAACATTGTACATATTTGTAGTAATGACAAGAAGAAAACAGGAAGAAAATAAACCTGGTGCTTATATATAATATAAACCTTTTTTTTTTAAATTTTATATATTTCTTTGTCAGAGAGAGAGAGTACAAACAGGGGGAGTGGCAGACAGAGGGAGGAGACTCCCCACTGAGTAAGGAGCCTGATGCAGGACTCAACCCAGGACCCTGAGATCATGACCTGAGCTGAAAGAGATGCTCAACTGATTGAGCCACCCAGCTGTCCTAAATATGAACTTTAATAGCTTAATACATATGCATTTTTTCATAATGCTTTGATTTTTTAACAGTATAAGTGAAAGCATTGCTCATACTCTTTCCCCTTTTATCTCATTCTCTTCCTGACTTTACCATATACCCTTTCTTTTATTTTTTTGCTAGGTGACTGCTTTTATTTTCTGATACGTCCTTTGAGAGTTTTTTTTTTTTAAAGATTTTATTTATTCGAGAGAGAGTGAGTGAGAGAGAGAGAGAGCGCGTGAGAAGAGTAGCAGGGGAGATAGGGAAGCAGACTCGCCACTGAGCAGGAAGCCTGATGTGGGGATCCATTCTAGGAACCTGGGATCATAACCTGAGCAGAAGACAGATGTTTAACTGACTGAGACATCCAGGTGCCCCTCTTTCAGAGTTTCTTTTAGGCAAATACAAGCAAGTAAAAGTACATAATTTTTCTTTTCACTTTTTTACATAAAAGTTAACATATTGTGTGTTCTTCTTCTTGCTTTTTTTTTTTGTCACTATAGTTTTTTTTTTAAATGTCATTATGTTTTATAGAGCTTTCAATATCAGTACTTCAAGAGCCTTATTAGTTTCTAAGGTACATTGTTTTCCATTGCATGGATGTATCGTAGTATACTTAACTAGATTCTTGTTGATGGGCACATGGATTGTCCCCAGTGGTTTTGCTGCCACAGCAGTGTAGTTAATAACCTCTTGTACATATATAATTTCAGACATACAGAGTTATATCCACATTCTATACCTATAGAGGTATATCCACATGTTCCTTTAGATTGGTCAGTGGGTAAATGCATTTGTACTTTCGTAAAATTTTGTCAGATGACACTTCTTGGGTTGAACCTTTTGTACTCTGACCAAGAGGGCATGATAGTACTTGTTTCTCCATTATGTTACTTAGAAAGGTACTTACAAAGTGTATAGCCAAACCTTTTCATTTTAAGTAGATGTAACTTGCATATTTTGGAACAGTGATTCTCAAGTAAGGGAGGAGGTGAGATTATGAGACTTCACAGAATTATGGCATCTGTTTACATATTCATCAAATACTTGGGCAACCTTTATTTGTTAGTATTATAGGCACTGGGGACTCAGTAGTGAAGAAAGTGAGCACAATGTTTATTGAAACAATAAATAAAAAATACACAAGATCATTACTAATGATGTACTGTAAAGTGGGAGGTAAGAGGAAGTGGTGATTAAGATGGAGTGCCAGGAGGTGGTATCGAAGCTGGGATGTGAAGAATAGGAAAGCAGCAGCTATGTGAAGAGCCAGGGGAAGGATCCTCACCATGAAAGGGTCGCAGAGTTCAAGATCCAAAAGCAGAAAAGTTGGTTGCTGAGTCTTGTATAAAGTAAAAAGCAATGACATAAAAACCAGGGAAGTAGGTTGGGATTCCACGTCTTACCATACAAAATTTTACTTCCCATACTAATGAGTTTGGGTTTTACTCTTAAGTGCTGTGGGAAGCCATTGAAAGGTTTTAAACAGAAAAGCAACTATGACTTTTTCTGGTTTGCTATATTTCCTTCAGGTTTTTTTTTTTAACGTTTAATTTTGACATTTTTTGTTTACAGAAAAGCAGCAAAAATAGGACAGTTACCATATAACTTTTAATCAGCTTCTCCTAATGTTAACATTTTATATAACCATGATACATTTATCACTACTAAGAAATGAATGAAACTACAGACTTTATTCAGATCTCCCTATTAGATCTCTGTCTCCTCTAATCTGTGACAGTTTCTTAATGCTTTGTTATCTTTCCTTAGACCTTTATTATTGAAAAATACTGGTCAGTTATTTTGTAGAATATCCCTCAGCTTGGAATTGTATGTTTTCTCATGACTAGACTGAGATAATGTATTTTAGGAAAGAATACAGAATAGAAGTGTCCTTCTTAGCACATCATGTTAGAAGGCATTTTGTATTAATATGTTAATGCTGTTGACCTTGATCATTTAAGTTGGTGTCTGCCAAGTTTTCTCCACTACAGAGCTTTTTTCCTCTCATACTCTGTTCATTACAAGTAAGTTACCAAGTCTAGCCCAGTCTGACAGCCGGCAGGGATGTTAAGCTACACCCCCTTAAGGAAAGAGTGTCAAAAAAACTTGTGGACATATATTAAAACCACCACAGTAATTAATAAATATTTGGGGGGAACTATTTTGAGGTC